ATTGTATGTATATATATTTTTCTATTTAGTAAATAGTCTCTACATGTTGGTCTTTTTTCACAGTACAATAAAAGCTCGCAATTTTCTAGTTAAATTTTTTATTTTTGTTTTTTTTTTTTGTTTTAATTCATAACGTTTAATATCTTGTATATATATATAATATGCACATTTACATATATAATTTATTTATTTTAATTAAATTTTATATGCATGTTTTTCATAGTTTTTATTTAACAAATGTCTTTTTTTCACTTAACAAAAATATTTAAAAGTGCTGTATTTTGTAAACAAAAAAAAAAAATAATAATAATAATAATATACACAGATATGTATATACTCGTATATATATAGAGGCTTCAAGAAGTAAATAAAATAATTAAGAAATATTGCTCGAACAGAATTTGAATTCGAATCTTTTCATTAAATTAATTCCCGGAATTCTTAGAAAGCGAGCAAAGGCACATTTCAACTATTTTGTGTCCCAAAACAAATAGGATGTTTTTGTTGTTTTATACTTAAATCTATACATTACTTTTATGTTGTTTTACCAACATACTACATTCTAACGTTTACTGTCGGCCCAAATGAGTTACATCACCAAAAAGGCGACAGTTCTTCAGACAGTGCCGGTTAAAATCCAGGTCATGTCCGGTGCGTAGAACCGGCTGTTGTGAGAGTCGTTTTTATTGTGATCTGGTAAAATTTAGATCTCGATATTTTAGTTCTTATTCTGACTCGATACCGTCATACCCGTTACCGCATGCAATGAGACCCTCACTACACTAACCAACTCTATGCATACCCCTTAAAACCTACTCCTCTAATCCCTTTTGCTTCTGGTCCGAAGGTGTCCGAACAGCTCGTTTCCTGGACCTATAATTAGCACTTTGTAGTCGTTGAAGCATTTTTTGATCGAGTTTCTCCTTTGTAGTGCCTAATAAATGGAAGAATCTACAGTTTATACCTAACTGCCTCTTCACGGCAGATGCTTTTTTATAAGCAGCTTTCAATTCAAGGAGTTTGCATATCCTGCAGACGGGCGTCCGCAATCATATATGCTGGTGGAATATTGCAATATTTTTCAACAGAAACCTAATCCGAGGAAAAGAAGATTGATGCCACGTATGCAGTTGCATTCACTGAACTATACTCAATTTCTAATCTTGCAGCCACGTCGCGCGGTACGCCGTAAGCCATACCCACATATTCGGTTCAAGGGTTCCCTATAGTCTAATAGCAACTTCTGTTCACCTGAGGAGCGGCTGTAAGCAGGCCTCGGTCTAAGCGAAAACCGCACGGCGTATAAATGTTGAAAAAAAATGTAAACCTACTTGACCGGCGAGGTTGTGTGCTGGGTTTGAGACCCGCCACCTTCACTTTCAATGAAAAAGTTTTCAACTCATCTTTTTGATGACGACCGATGTCAATGAATTAAGGATAACGATTTGAGCGCTTGCTACTGAAATGTGCGATCTTGTAATTGAGAAGATATCGCTACCCAGTTAGTTGATGTCCGTACAGGAAAAAAAGCTGACATCATCGCCCTGCAGAAATTTCGATGGACGCTACAAAAACAGAGACGAGCAGCTTATCGAGGCAATTATTACAGTGGGCGTCGAATATAGAGGTGTAGGATTTATGATATGAGTACAGGCATTCCGCCCGGTGGACGAACGTCTTGCCATAAGGGCCATGTGACGAAGAATACCTTCCATGAGCACGTAGAGCATACTTATGAACGCTGTTTCGGACTACTACCTTGCAGCAGCAAGGATACGCACCCATCTCTGTGCTGGAAACAATGCCTCAACGTCAACGTCGAGGTAGCTGCAATTACAATAGTCACCCAAACGGTATTCTACTCGACTTGCACGACCTGCTTTCTGAGTGTTCTCATCAGCACCTCCCATAGTCTGCGCCAATAACGCATATAAGTTACTATCGAGCCTATTGTGTTTCAAAAACGAAAGCCCACCGTCAACAAACTGGTCTGATTTTTTCAATGTGGCTTTAGATCAGGTAAATTCACCATTAACGTGATATTAACCATGCGAATAATCTTGGAAAAGACCCTTAAATAGAAGCAGCCTTCGACAGCATGAAAAATAACCATCTATACGCCGCTGTGAATGAGTTGTGCTTTCTATCGACTGAATGAGGAAACGAAGCATTTGGGTCTGGTGGTGAACGTGATAAGACGACATATCTCTTGTCAGCAAACAAACGCTTTCATTTCATTTTGACAGTCATAACATTGATAAAATCTTCTAACTTGGAACTAATAGTATTAAAGCCAACAACATTTTCAGCCTTAAAAACCAATAGGTGCTACTTAGGACCGATGAGCAATTGACGACGAACAAAGTCTAAACTCTAAAAGTCGCCCTTCATTTCATCCTGCTGCATTACAGAGGAACACACGGGGATAACATCATATAATTCCGTATAGGGAGATAAAGAATACATGGTCCTCTGCACGTTGGGAAAACCCGATGCCAAAGAAACGGTGTGCTGTGCGGCCACATTGACATAATTCAGCGAATCAAAAGACTTTGGCTATGGTGGCTGGATCAAGTGGTCCGGATGGATGAGTATCAGCGAGTTTTGAAAGTTTTCGATATAGCATACGCCAGTGGAAGTAGAGGAAAAGGATTACTTCTACTTCAAAAGAAAGACCAGTGAATGAACTCGGCTATATTCACGTAAGCGGTACCTCCGACAGTAAAGAAGAAGAAGTATCATATGCTTAAAACCGACCCTTTTTTAAAGTAAAAACGTACGAAATAAAATTTGTTTGACACAAATATCGGCTACTCTTATTCTGGAACACAAATGTACGAAAAATGTTAAAAAACATTTAAAAACCCGCAATAACTTAATTTCTTGTGATCGCAAAAAATGCGCTAAACTGCACAAATACTCGCCCACTTGTTTTACACTAACTAAGCGATGTGGTAATACAACTGTTAGTTATTTTGCATACAATTAGTTTTATTGTTATTGAAAACCTTAACTAATTGTTGCTGTACAAGTGTGCGCAATGCAAATGGAAGAAATGTAAAGCAAAGCCTGTTAAAAATTTATTGCAACAAAACGAATTATTTGTAACAAATAAGCAACGGTTGGAAATCTAATTAGGTTTTCCGCACTTTAAAATTAATGAAGCAAGTTGTAGTTGGAACAAATATCCTCCCTTGAGGTGTATTTGTAATTTAAAATATATAAATACAACATTCTAGCTATATTAGCATGCGAATATATGAAAAAACAAAATTGCTTTAACACGGCAGAGCTGGAAATATTAAATTAAAAAGAAAGAGAAAGAAATTTCAATAAATTATAATTAGTTTGACACAACTCCTCGGCCACTATATGTATAGAAAACGTCAAGGCTGCATCGCAGCGAAATATTGCCATTAAAGAAATTATCAAAATAAATTTGATATTGCTTTTACCCGAAACGAAATGCTGTCGTTAATATTAAAACGTTAACAGATAAAGTTAAATCGTTAACAGATAATGATATAGTTAACAGATATTTTTAAATCGTTAACAGGTATTGTTAAATCGTGAACAGATAATGTTACATCGTTAACTGATAATGCTAAGTGGTTAACAGAAAATCCTAAATCGTGAACAGATAATGATATAGCTAACAGATATTGTCAAATCGTTAACAGATAAAGTTAAATCCTAAACAGATAATGTTAAACGTTAACATTGAGCTGGGCTGTATATTATTTTAAAAATAACGTTAACGATGAGTTTGCGAGGTTCTAACAATAACAACTACATTTCGTTTCGTTCGGATAGTGCTGAAACAAAACAAAATCATTTCGTTTCGTTTATTTTTCAGTTTAACAAAAGGAAATGGCATCATTTAGTTAGTAGAGCATCTCGGAAAAAAACTTTCAGCTTTTCAGTGTGTTCAGGCATTAAAAAAAAAACACTTTTAGCACATGCATTTCAACAATTAGACATTATTAAAAAAATAAAGCAAATATTTTTGGCTAAGTATTTTGTTTACAATATTGTAACCAACCACATAAAATGGTTCAATAGAGCGCTTAATACAAATAGTTTGATGTAAATGTGCGACAACAAAAATGATTCCATAACTTTATAACTAAAAACTACTAAAATAAATTACAATTAGTGGAAAGTAATGTAGCATTATACCATTGCCGTTTGCTTATAACGCAAAATATCCGTTTCCCTAGACAGTAATACAAGCAGTTAAATTTCCATTACAATTAACCATCAAAAAACATTGAAATATACACATTTATATATGTATGTATATGCTTATAGGTAAGTAGTAACTACGTATGCATTTAAAAAAAATATATATATACAATTATGAATAAATAGCAGTGAACAATTGCAGAGCTGAGCTATTTTTAAACGCACTCATGTGTATACAAATCATAAAAAAAACAAGAAAAGATTTTATCTTTTGTTTTTGCTATGGAAAAAATTAACTTAAAAATATTTACAATTAAAAGTAGACTATATTACTACAAATACTATGCGTTAAATTACATTTTAACATAATTTAATATTTTTTATTTTTGATTTTTTTTTTGCACTTAGAAATATACAATATACGATATTATATTACTACAGCCGTTGAACCAACAATGTACCGTTGACAAAAAATTAAAAAAAATATATATATATAACTCTATATAAACAATATGCTACGTACATATGTATGTGTACATACATGTTTGCATATGCATATTACTATTTTTAGGTGACTTTTACTTTATGAGATTCTTCGAACAATAAAAAAGGGTTACCAATGGCAAACAACAACACACGTGTGGTAAAGTATAAGTGTCTTTTTGTGTCTTTTACGCGTACAAATAAGTAGGAAGGAAATTATATTATATTGCACACATATACATATGTATATATGTATGTTTGAAAATGTGCTGCCACGTGCCGCTTATAAAAAAAAAATGGAAAAATTTTACCGAATTTCAAATAATTTTACGCTTACAAAACTGCTAAACATACATACTAAATGTAAACTTTAATGTTAAAATATACATATTTATCAAAATTTAGCATTTTGTACGTCTCTTTTAGCACATAAACCAATTTTACATAAGCAATTTTGTTACCCGCCAGCCAATTCCTCACCTCGCATTCGCTCTCCCTCCCTCCCTCCTTCTCTCTCTCTCCCGCTCTATCTCTCTCTGTCTCTTCCACTACTTTTACCCTTCAGTGTGCTTGGGTCTTCCTCAGTTCGCGTTCTCTAAATCTGCTTATCAGGCATTGCAATATCCAACGGTGTATATATTTTTTGAGCACACGATTACCATGTTGGGTCCTAAAATTGACTCGTTTCAAGACATATTTTTCACGCAAACTATTGTATAATACCTGTCGTCTGTGGCGTCGGTAATCGTGTGCGACAATTTCTTCATGGTGTATAGCGGGAAAATCGTATTGTGTATTATTAAGCGAATCATCGTTGGTAATTCTTAAGTCGTCGTCAACGTAATCTAGTGTATGTGTTGGTGTAATGTATGCATTTAAAGCTTCTAATCCGCTACTCTCCACTCTCAACTCCTTCTCCTCCCCCTTCTCCTCCTCATGTAGGCTCATAAAAGTTTCATTAAAATTATTTTCGTTAAGTGTTTCGTTAGTCATTAGCAACACTTTTGGTGTATTATCTAAAATCATAGCGTCTTCAAGTATTTCACTATTTAGTTCTCTTTCAATATTCTCAATACTCTCTTCCATTGGCATGGGTTGCGCATGCGCAACAACGCTGAGCACATTTTCATTCATATCACATTGTAAAACATATAAATCACTATCGTTAACTAAAATTTCTTCTAAATTAATTAGTACCACATCTTCTTGTTGAGCTTCTTTCTCATCGGCATCACCATCTTCGGGATCGGATGTGACGCCAGCTTGTCGATACATTTCGGCTAAAGCTTCTTCAACGCTTAATTCACGCTCTAGCGGTTCTGGCGTATTTTGGTTTGTATTATTATTGGTGGTGTTAATTTCAAAGGAACTACTTAAGGCAATTTTACAAAGGTCACTTAGCTTTGGTATTTTACTATTTAACGCATCCTCAGTTCGGTTAATCATTTCATGATCTTCATTGCATTTTTCTCTCTCCAAATAGATCAAGACTATTTGCTTTAAACTCGGCACTTCATACGCATGAAGGGCAGCACTTGTTGCTGCACAATTTAACGTGGTCTCGTCCTCTTTTTGATTCACTTCATTTTGATTCTCTTCAGTTTGAAGCTCACTTGCTCCATTCTCAACATCGCACAGTTTAACACAGTCTTCCGCACCACTAGTCGCAGCGTAATCGGTCTGCACACCCTCCGCCTCTCCCTCACAACCACGCGCTGCCACGAATAACTTCGATTCGCCATTTAACTCAACGCTTTCGTCATCTACCATTGAGATCTTATCTTCGCGTGTGACATTTCCCTCATTAGCATTTTTATGTTTCAAAACACTTGCTATCTCTTCCACGGCATGGACATTTTCCTCCATCAAAGAATTGCTTTTAATTTCCTTAAGATTCGTACTTATCTCTTCGAGGCCATCACTATCACTTTCTAGTATTTTTTTCAATGTTTTAATATCATTTTCTTTTATCGTTTTATCAGCACCAACAATACACACCTTCTGCACGCCGTCATCATGCTCGTTATAGGTATGCATCACAGTCTTTTCTTCAAATTCATCTTTGTTTAAATGACTAAATTCATTTGTTTGATGTTGGGAGAGCTCTCTTTCCAACTCTTTCATTTCATTGAAATCGCTTTGCACCGTTGATGTACTACTACGACTATCCTCGTCATCGGACGACGAACTGGAACTGGTTGATGAAGAACTAGCTGATCTACCTTCAGAAGCTGTTGAAGACGACGAATCGGTGCTACTCGAGGAACTGCTATCTGTGCTATTCTCATCAATATCGGTAGGCTTTTCGAAATAGTTTTTCGAAGTTGTTGTGAAATACTCGGCACTCTTCCTGGCCCCAAACATATCAAGACTATTCTCCATTTCAGACAAATCTAATTCGCTATTGAAGTGTAGTTGTTGGCTGGATGTTTCATTGGGATCGTCTTGCTGTGGCGTGTCAATGTCTACAACCATCTGCAAAGGTGATCTCCCAATCTGTATGTGCTGTAAAATTGCTTTATTTTCGTCAGCGGCGACCGAAACTAATGGCGCATTGGAAGTTTTAGACTCCTTTTCAATTTCATTAGTCTCCTCTTCAATTTCATCACTCTTCTTATAAGTTTCTTCGGGTTTAACTTCAATTTCTTGAACTGTTTCTTTATCAAGCACGCTGTTAATGCTGCTGGTAGCTGCGGTAGTCTGTTCTTCAACTAGATTTGCATTACTGTCTCCATTTTGTGTAGGTTTTTCTTCATGTTCTGTTACTTCTGATGATTCTACTGTCGTTATATTTCCTAAGTTCTCAACATTTTCAGCTGTCAGATCACTCATTGGGCATTCAATCACTTCTGATTGTGTTGTACTGGCCATCAAATCTTTGGGTAGGCTTTTAACATCTTCAATTTGCTTCGTTTCTTTTACTTTGTCTTCCACTGCAGATTCTACGTTCTCCATAGATTTATCAAATTTCTCATCAAAGTCTGCTGGTATGTTTGCCACATTTGCAGTTTCAGCTTCAATTTCTTGATTTCCATTGTCGTTTTTAGCTGCTGAATATATAGAGCCTTGAATGCACTTGTTCTCCACTTGTACTTCAGCCATTTCTTCCACAGCATCATTATTGGCAACTTTGTTTTCTGTGTTGTCACTTACGAGCAGTGCGGAGTCTTCTACATTGATCGTATCAAGATGGGTAGTTTCCGTTTTAGGTTCATCACTGTCTACACAGACTTCCAGATTATTTTCCAAACTGTAAAGGTTTTCCGTTTGTTTCTCAATCTCCACCTCGTCAAGTTGCTGAGTTTCAAGCAACTGTTCACTTAAACCATTTTCCACAACATCAAGAATATCATTTATGTCCGATGGTTCGAACGCATCCAGACATATTATTTTCTTACCAACCGTCATGGTTTCATTTTCTAGTGGTGTCTGATTGGTCATTTCAAAATTGTTCTCTACATTCGTCGTCATGCATACGCTCATAACTTCCGATTGTTTATCGATTTCTGCAGCTTGTACGAGTTGCTCTTGAAACAGTGCCGAGTTTATGAAATCTATACTGAGCGATTTTAACGTCGGGGGATTATAGTTTTGCTTCGTTTCATTCTCATCTCTACTGGAGTATAGTGTTATGCTCTTTCTCTTGATTAACGGTAAACTACTTTCCACCACACGTGCAATATCTTGACTAATCACTGCGGTAAAATCGAGACGTTGCGCAGTAATTATATGCCGACGGCGTAGGGAGCGCAAGGTACGTCGATAGTATGAACGGGAGTTAAGCTTTTGTGTTCTCATGGATTTTAGACGATTTGCGCGGGAGAACTTTATGCTTTTCAAATGTTTATTGCTTGTAATGGGAAAGGTGCTTTCTTTATCAACAAGCACCTGTTGTTGTTGTTGTTCTTGCGAGATCTTAGGAATTTTAGCGTTATCTTTCTTGGAATCGGAGTCTTTTCGTTTGCGTTTGTAGAATTTCGAAAAACTTTTGATTTTGTGTGCTATCTCAAGATCGCTGACGGCACTTTCTTTCAAGGGTGTTGTATTCAAAGTGCTAGCGTTCTTAGCAGTGCTGAGTTTGTCAGATATTTGAGACGTATTCACACTGCTGTCGCTATTGCCAGCGCCAACTGCAGTGTAATCAAAATCATTGCCGATTTTATTTATAAAAGTTTCATACTCCTTTTCAAATGTAGAACCATTCGAACTGGTCGTGCTGTCGCTTTCCATGTTTCTATCAAATATGTGATCTGTTTTAGCTTGGACGGTTGATGAAGTTATGTCTGCCTTGTGCTCCGTGGATATGAAATCCGCTTCCATTTTCTCCAAGGGTTCGACACATGCGCTTATTGAGTCTAGGCTTTCAAATGGTTTCAAACTTTGCAAATCATCTTTGACACTCGGCATAAGTCTTTCGTGCATCGTTCCCGTAGCAATTTCCAAAACTTCAGCTTCGGGCTTCACTATAACACTGCCACTGCGTATTGGCGGCGTTTCGGTAGTCATTTTTGAGCGCTTTATCTTTTTGGTTTCTAATTCATCAAGTTCTTTCTCCACATCGAAGCAGTCATAGTTTACAGGTTTAATATCGGATTTTTGTGTAGCATCAGTCGTATTAGGCTTTGTATTGCCGCCCTGTGAGCCATTGGATTTTTCAATATCGATTATAATATCAGGCAAGTTTATGTTTGCATATTGGTTTGTCTCTCCGCCGACCGCGGCAGCTGTATCTACATTTTTGAGCGCTGGGAAACTTGTTAGATTTTCAGCTAAAGGCAATTCAGGGGGTTCACCAACAACATACGAAGCTGGAGCATTAATTTCTGGCAGTTCTTGCAAGCAGGGCATGTCTTGTTTCACTTCAACGCGATTGTTGGTGTGATCCAATGCGCTTATTGTCTGCTCGACCACCTGTTGCCCGCTTTCCACAAAACTCAGCTCGTCCCCGCCACCGTAGTCCTCTTCATCTTCATTCCATGTGCTAAGGAAGTCACGTAGGCTCGAGTAAGTTTTGGTTGTCGGTGTTGTTGGCATGCCAGACTTTTCTGCAGGCTCTACTGTTGATGTGCTCTTAGCATACATGCTTACATCTAGTGGACGTAACTCGCCGCCGAGACGGTAACTATTCTCGTAGTGGCTCATGTTGATGGCCATGTGCTCGTCTAAATTCGTTAGGGTCGGTTCGCCTATAATGCAATCGTCACTGGTCGCTACGGCAGACTTGCGGTAGTCGATTAAGGAATTTTTTGCGGCTGTGTTTTGCACGTAAGAGGAAGGTAAATTCGTTAGGTGATCAACGCGTTGCACTAAACTTTCGCGTCGTTGTTGTACTAGCGGGGTCGCCTGCAGCGGACTCATATAGTTGTCATAGCAGGTCTGCATGTTGAGATCATTATAGTAAGCAGTCGGTAAGTCGTTATGTTGACCGGTGGTTATGTTGTGATTGAGCGGCTGATGTGCCATCACAGCGGCAGGTGTGACAACATTGGAGTATTGCTGATTGTGTGCAACACCCGCCGGATATGTGTGATAATTCATGTTGCTTGCCTCATATGTCGGCGTTGTAGCGTAAACATCGTTTGTGTTGACCTTGGATTTGGCGGCATGACCATATTCGAGTAGGCCATACTTCAAACCAACGTTGCTGCTGTTGCTGCCGCTGCCTACTAAACCCGTGCTGCCATACGGCGACGCTTGCACGTGAGGGTTGTATGTGTTGGGCAGAAAGTGTGGATGATGTGGCGTGCGCGTATAGTAACAGTTTTGCTGCTGAAATGGTTGTGTGCAACAGTTTTGGCGAGCAGCGGCTGCTGGCGTAGATTGTGGCGGGTAAGGGTGGTGGTGATATGCTAGGTTGGGATGTGCGCTTGAAACGCCGCTTGGAGGTAGTGGTGCATGGTGTGTGTATGGATGTGACAGACGTTCACTAAGTGCGGGTACCATGTGTGCTGAGTTGTGCGGCGAGTTCGGCCAGACACCACGACCGGATGTATTCGCCGCCGCCGCCGCTGCACTCATATACTGTTGTTGCTGGTGCTGATGGTGGGGGTGTGGGTGGTGCTGTAGGTGGTGGGGACTATTGTAATAAGAATTGTACTTATCATATTTGTTGTTGTATTTTTCAGCTGTATAATACATAGTATCACGATTGGCGGCAACTGTGGCATTTGTGGGTACATAACTGGCATTCGTAGGCGGTATAGTGGCGGTTGGTATGCCATTGACGGCCTGGGTTGGTGCTGGTGGCGGCGGTGGTGGTAGTGTACGGCAATTACCATTAGCATACTCCATGCTCCAGTGCCATGACGAAGATGATGCCGTTGCCTTACGGTATGGATCGTTGGGCATTTCGGCGGCGTACTGTGGTGGGTGTGTTGCGGGTATGGCTGCTGGTGCAGTGGCAGGTTGCGCTGTGGCGTATGCGACTGCATTATACGGCATTGCCGATATATTGGCGGGTTGTGTTGATGTGTAATATGCCGAATGCGCGGCTGTGGTCACTGCGGTGTACAGATATTTATCGTATTTGTCAAGGTAAGTGCCGGCGCTGCCATTATTACTGGCACTTAAACTATTGCTTGTTGCACTGCCGATTGTAACGCCGACTGGTGGCGCCGTACTGCCGTAATGTAAACCCAAACGCTGCTGTGGTCCCCGTATATTTGGTGCGGTGTTGAAGGGTTTCATTTGTGTTGTTGGGCTCGTGGTGCTGTAAGCGACTTCCGAAAGTGTTTTTGTCGCGTGGTGTTGCGGAAAATTTTGACTGTAATTCACTGTGTTGCCAGCATCTAACGATTGTTGATTGTAATTAACGTAATCGATGCTGTGGTTTGGCAATTTTATGGACATTTTGTATTTGTACGCTTCCGTAGACGCGTTAGAGTCGCTCGCTTGCAGCGCTTGGGCGTAGAAAGGTGTTGCGGTCGCTTGTGGTTTTGTTGTTGTTGGTGGTTCACCAATACGTTTTAAATTATTCAGGCTTAATTCGTTACTGTTACTATTATAGGCTTTGTTGTTATTGTTGCTGCTACTGTTGCTGCTGTTGTTGCCGCTGGCAGTGTGACTGTGCGAATGTAAAATCGGCTGAGTGTGTTGCTTACTCGGCTTTTCTGGTGTTGTGTAATACGCCGTGGTGTGTCGCATTTCCAATAAATTACGTTCAACTCCACTGGCTTGCTGATAACTTTCCCCGGCTGCCGCCGTATAAGCGTACGCACTGTCGTAGCTGCTGTTATATTGCGTTGGAGCAGGCGATCCCAACTGTTCGTCACCTAATTGATATGAACGCGTTGGCTGCTCTTGGTAATGCGGCTGCTTCGGTGGATAATGCTGCGATTGATGCTGCTGCTGAAAATTTGCCTGCTGTTGCTGATGCTGGTGATGGTGGTGGTGTAGTTGTTGTTGTTGAAACGTTTCATTATAATAAGGCGTTACGGTCGCAATGGTGGCAGCTGCTGGTGTGGGCTCGACCAAGCCGACCGGTGTGCTGGAATGTGAATCCGAATATTGACTGTGACTGCTGCTGCTGCTGTTGCTGCTACTGCTACCAGCCGAGGCGGGATTAGTGGGGGTGGTGGTGGCGCTCGCATAGCCACTACTAATGCTACTACTACTGCTACTGCTATTGCTGTTGTTGGTTTTGTTTGGTGTGCCACTGCCAAGTGGCAGCATTGTAATAATAGATTCAACAGAAGTAGCGTCCATATTGATTTGCTGCTGCTGGCTGTTCGGCGTTTGGACAAAAAGCCAACTTCCGGCTGCAAATGGTGAAACTGGAAATAAAATTAATGCGGTTAATCAGTGGTTGTCATTGAAAGGTGGCAGAGTGGAAAATATATTGAAATTAGAATTAATTATACTAGCAACTACGGCGCATACATAGATAATACACCTACGGGAAAATGCCCGAAAAATTGAATAAAAAATATGGTATTGTATATATACATAGATACATATATGTATATTGTAATATTTTGTTATTTGTAATATATTCTTTACAAAAAATTAACGCGCTTGAGTACTTTGTTGCGTTCACTTTGCTTTACGAAACGCAAATGCGCGTCCACTTTCATGGAAAACCTTTGATGAATATTGGAAAAACCAAAAACGAAATGAAAAAATATGTGCACTGAATTGGTACTTTTATGGTAGTCAATGCCTGACCAATGTCCCCGCGATATTTATGTACATATGTATGCATGTACTCGTATGTATGTATGCAAGTATGTGTGTATGTAGGAAGATAATCTGCCGTCATTTACTAAAATGTTCATTAAATATTAACGATTAACTGTCATTTTTGTTGGTCAACTTTACGGCGGCCTCACACATTACACATGATGACATACATTTATATACATACATATCATACATACACATATATATAAATATATAATGTATGCCGTATATGCAGGTGTTCAGCAGCGTTTTGGTTTCAATTGGCTTCTACCAACACACAACCGCGCACGCTTCACGAAGCCACGAAGCCACTATTTTAAGTGACCCGACACAATTCAATTTTCAGCCCCCTTTTTGTTGTGGCAACCAACCACTTGGCGCACAACAAACCCCTTTAATACATACACATGATGCAAGTAGTTCTTAGAAAATGACAGTTTTCCAACATTGACCGAGAAGAACATATGAAATTGCTGCAATAGCAATTGAAATGATTTTTTTCGAAACACTGTACTAAAGGCTAAGCTTTAAAGACGGTGTTAACCAGAGTAAACACTTAAACGTGATTTTTGGGAATTTTTATTAAACAAAATACTTTATCAATTATTTCAAAATTTTAAGAATATATTTATACATGCTTCAAGGCCTTCCGGCCTTCTCCGTGGTTGAAATCTAAAAAAAAATTGTCTGTATGTATGTATTGTACGAAAAAAAAAAATCGAAAATTGATAATATGGCGGCGTTAAAAAAAATAGTCGAATTTTACCCAAAATTATCCCAAAATTCGAATATTTGATCAGATCAAAAATCGATAGATCATTGTACGGAGAACTATATATAGAACATGTAAAAAAAATCGATAGTGATCGGATCGTTTGTTTTGAGTAATCACTGCAGCAAATTCGGAAAATGATGTTTCGCGAAAAACGCGTTTAAAGATAAAATGATCGTTTTCACTTGTAGCTAATGAGACTCTCTAGCTACCGAGCGGCTGCTCTTTAAATTGCTATAACTCATAAACTATTTGAGATATCGATTTTAAATTTCAATATCTTATTTTTAAAGGTGTAATCTACCGAAATATGAAAAGATTTGAAACTTCACACTAGGTGTGCCCCTTAAAATGTGAGCAGTTTTATATGGTAAGTGTAGACTTGTAATAAATGTATAAAAAAATTTTCGTAAAATTCACCAAATTATTAACATAAAGCATCCCGAAGAATCACTTTTTATATGAAGAAAAACCACATAAAAATCCCTTCAGTAGTTTTTGAGTTTATTGCGATCAGACAGACAGACACCCAACGAATACCCTCTATCCGCCCAATCGAGACGAGATTCGACATCCGCTTAACGTACGGAATATGCAGAGTCATGATTGGGAAGCGTTTGTTAAGTGTCGAGATTTAAAACTATTCAGCTAAAAAAGAATTATTCAAAAGCTGAAATTTAGTAATTATGGAACATTAAAATATAATTGTGGAAAAAAGCAAGAAGAGTTTTTTTTTGCATGCTAAAAGTGAGTCCGAGAGATCGAAGATGCTGGAATGAAAATGAAAATTGTGACACAATCGGCGAAAGGGTACATTCAATTCATAATTTGTTTTACATCTTAGTAAAGGCCTACACTGCTTAAATACACGAGTTGGAACGTTAAAGTTTACCTCAGATAAGAGCCAGAGAACAACGAATTGAACCGCTAAGAAGCTACACTACGAACAGGGTGCCTAACATTTCTCTATGACTTGCGAGACTAGGTAGATTTAGAAGCTTTAAACGGTTGGTATAGGGAAGAAGTTTTATCGTAGAGTTCCATTGGAAATGTCTCAATGCAAAACGTAAAAATTGTACTTGAACTATTTCTGAATATATTTCTAGTCGAATGAGATAAGTTTGAAAAAATCGATTTTTTTGACCCTCTAAACCAGTTTCCCCCCTTAATTGCTTTAATTGCCGGTGTGTATCAGAAACCTGATAGATTGCTCCGTTAAAGCCCATTTGGTACCCTCAGGATTGCCCACAATCTTTTGGTTACTGGCGGGGTCATAGAAGAATCCTGTTCATGTACTCTTACAAAATATGTATTTTTATTTAAAAAAAAACAAACAAAAAAACAAAATAAAAAATTTCCATATTATTTGTGGTTTTCAAACGGTATTTTAATACAATAGAAAACAAATAAATACTGTTAAAAACCAGTTGTGTCCTATTTTAATTAAATTAAATTTCGATACTCTCCTTGAGAGAAAAAAATCAAACCAGATTTTAAATAAACACACTTTATATTTTTTTCTCTTATTTCTTATTTATATATTCATTGTTTTCTTTTCATGCTTGCAGTTAATTAAAATTCGCTAGCACATTCCTATAGTATAAAAATGCACTCAAAATGCTATCCATGGTATGAATGAAGGAAAAAAAAAATTTAAACAAGAGCGGATCATTTTACAATTAATTCATTATAAAAATTGTGCGGGTGCATACATTAGAAGCGCTGAATTGGCCAGTAATTTTAGCAACAGCAAAATAACTGTATAACAAAACGGCTGTGACAAACACGATGTCTCAGGCAATCTTTCTGCAAATCTGCGGTAAGCAATTTCCAAAAAGAAAGACATAAGCAAAGTAGGAACAAAGAAAATATAAATACAAAATAAAAATATAAAATTGCAAGCTGAACTGCTGACTTCTCAATAATTTTGATAAAATAATGCTTTTGAGCGTTATTGCAAAACCTTGGTTTCCAAAGGAAGCTCGAAACGCAATAAACATGATACACCGAATTTCCACCTGCGAATCGCTGCTGAATCGCAACAAATCGACCTGTTTCTGAAGCGGATTGTGACTGAAGCGGATAGGTCACTTACGACAACATCGAGTGCAAACGGTCGTGGTCAAAGCGGGGACGCGGGCCAGACGGTGGCCAAGACCGGATTGACGGCCAGGAAGGTTTTGCTGTGTGTTTGGTGGGATTGGCAAGGAATCATTTACTACGAGCTGCTTCCCTATAGCCAAACGCTCAATTCGACCCTATACTGCCAACAAATGGACCGCTTGAAGATAGTACTCATCCAGAAGAGGCCATCGTTGATCAACAGAGACGAATTGTGTTCCATCAGGATAAAGTCAGGCCGCACACGTCTTTGGTGACGCGCCAGAAGCTCCAGGAGCTCGGATGGGAGGTTCTAGTGCACCCACCTTACAGTCCGGACCTGGCACCAAGTGATTATCGTCTTTTCCGGTCCATGACGAACGCGCTAATGATGAGAATTTGGCCACAAGAGAGGCCTGTGAAAATTGGCTCACCGAGTTATACGAATAAAACGGCGCATATTTGACTTAAATCGGACAAATGTACACAAAGCTATCATATTTTGGAAAATAAATAAAAAAAAACCGAACGAACTTTTTATTTGACCAATATGTATGACGGCCGCAATAGCCAAGCATAGCAATAGCCAAGTGGTTACCATTGCGTAATAACACTAGGAAGGCCTGAGTTCGAGTCCTGGTTCGAACGAGATCCAAAAACTATACAACAGGAAAATAACTTTTCTAATTGCAGTCGCCTTAGTACAATATAAACTGCAAGACCCTCCATTTGTTGGTAAAACATCAAGACGCCAACTACAAATTGGAAGAGGAGCTTGGCTGAAAATCGCACCAATTATATACGAGAGACTTTCTCTATTTCGGGATTTAACAATCCTAGCATTACAATCTGACAACTGACAATTCTATCGTAAAGCTTAAAAATTTTAATATTTCACTGACTGAGAACTCCTTGACATACGAGGCTGTTTGTGTTGCTTACAGTAGTTTAAAATATTCATCTCGGCCATAAAATGGAATTAAGATGCGGTTACTTTCGCACACTTATTTTTTAAAATTTTCCTGGTCCCGTCTAGGCGAATTCCTAGTAGGTCGCCCAATATCAGTTGTTGTTCTAGACACTATTGATGCTGTGCGCTAACTGATATTACAAGAGCGTCATGTGACCTACCATGAGCCTTAGATTATTATAGGCATTTATGCACGTTGGGTACCGCACAATTTGTCAATAACTTTAAAAGGGTGAATGTCGATTGATTGAGAGAATTGTTAAAAAATACCAGAGCGGTTGGCAGCTATAAAACGATTCCAGCTGGAACGCATCGACTGGGATGTCCGCGCGTACCCCCGTCACGGCCGCCTGGATGTCCACAATCGACTCAAAATAGGTTCCTTTAACCACCGATTTTGTTCTAGGGAACAAAAAAAGTCACAGGGTGACATATCGGGCAAATAAGACGATTGTGGCATCACGGCAATCCCTTTAGAAGCCCAATTCTGGGACACGCTGAGAGCGGTGTGGCACGGCGCGTTGTCGTGATGAAGGCTCCTGTTATGAGCGATGTCTGGGCGCACCTTGTTGACTCGTTTTCGCAAATATTCGAGTACTTGGCGATAATAGACTTGATTTACGGTTTGTTCCGGTGGAAGAAATTCTGAAAACTTTATCGAGACGCGTTGCTCTTGATTTCGTTTTTCCACTTTGCGACGAGCACCACGGACACAAGTAAGTTCTTGTAAAAAAGCATTCACGAGGCGGCTT